GTTTTTGCATCTTCAAACACAGGAATCAAAGTATTTGTTGCTTTTCAGCCTAAAACAATCCCACATATCTTTTGCACAGTCAGCCTGTTTAACGAATCACATCTTAAATGCCATTCTTCAATTACCTTTGGATATATCAAATCTGATGAAAATGCAAAACCTGAAAATATACCAAAATACATCACTGCTTTAATGACTAGTCAGCATCTTTGGAAGGTACATATCTATACATCTCAGGGCTTTAAAGATACAGCAAAGATTTCTTTGCGTGATTATAACTTAACTGAGGGAGCATGAGACCATGAGACAATGTCAGAGACTGGAGGAAGACAATCTGACAGAAGAGACACATGGTGCTAACTCTGTGCTGTGGGTGAGTTCACTCAAGGTCCCAGAACTTGTTTTAATATGGGAACACAGTTCAACTTACTTTCATGGTGACTTTCACTGACATCATGACAAGGTGAGTACATTCTTTTGTCCAGCTGTTCACAGTGAGTCCTCCAAGTTGCAACACAGCTTGATTTAGAGCAGTTTTCCCAGACACATCTAAACAAGAAGAACAGGCAACCAAAGGCTCATACTCTACCCTGTGAATGACAATAAAGTTACGTTATCACAGTTACAAAGACTTTACAACTTTACAATACTTTACAACTTTAAGCTTACAACATATTATTCGTTTAATTTTGACACATTATAAATTTGTAACTTAGGAAATTCTTACCTCCTAAATCTTGTGTTCCCAAAGAAGAAAAAGACATGGCCAACATCAACATTACATTTTAACTTATGAAGCATCAAACAAACGAGGCTCCTATCACAACTCACAGGGACTAACACAAACTTTTACTCACCTGTCACCCCCCACCTGTGATCCACAAAATATACCAACCACACAGAGTTCACTACTGTGCTAAATGGGAAGTCAATTATACTGTCACCTTATAATCCTTATCTTTGCTTTAAAATTCAATTGTTGTGAGATAAAATTGTCCACTTTAATCTAATTTAAAAAGTGTGGGGCCAGTGCCATTGGTTTGGTACACTAAGCTTCCACCAGGATTCCATATGGGCAACAGTTCATACCCCAGCTTCCCAAACGTGGATCCAGCTCCCTGCTTGTGGCCTGAGAAGGCAGTCAAGGACAGCCCAAAGTTGTGGGACTCCTCAGCCATGTGGGAGACTCAGAAGAGGCTCCTGGTTCCTGGCTTCAGATTGGCCCACCTCTGGCTGTTGTGGCAACTTGGGAGTGAAGGCAGGATCTCTCAGTCTCTCCTTCTCTCTGTTCATCTGCCTTTCATGTAAAAGTAAATCTTTAACAACAAAAATTAAATAAACAAATCCATACCTGAATTTACTTTCAAACACTCCAAAGGTGACTCTATCCCCTGTCTTCAAAGTTTGGGGAAGGTGATTTTGCATTTTTGCCTCATTAACAAAGGTACCATATTTAGAATTATCTTTGATTGTCAATACAGGGATTTCATCAGTTTGACTCTGAAAATTAGAGAAGTAATTACAAGTCTTTTACAGCTCAAGCACATACAATCCAGGGGGAAATGATTCACAGGAGACATTTGATAACTTTTGAAAAGGGTAAAATAATAAATAGCTGCATATCCTGCCACCACAGGGAATGACAGCTACTGTTCTGGCTGCCTTCAAAGGACTAATTAGCAATTAACATAAATATCTCCCTTTAAGAAAATCTCTGAATTTCAGAATTATAACTCTTGGAATACACATTTTTCTTTATTTCTGTAAATCAGTTGGGACTTTCCCAACCCTTCCATTTCACACACTTGAGAATTTTATGATTGGCAGCAGTTTGCTTCATGCATAACATGACAGCTTCAGTCCTAAGTTTTCGTTTTGTTTTGTTTACATTATCAAAAGCACATGGTAAACACTGGGCGAATGAAAACAAGGCATAAAGCCTAGAGGTTCTGACTTTTGGTAATAATTTTATTTTTTCTATTGCAACTTCTATAATAATGCTTTTCTACAACACAAATAGACACAAAACCTAAATGCCAGTAAACTAATCCATCACTTGTGCATTTGTCACATTTGTTCAAACTAACTGCTTACTTTCTTGTTCCTACCACGATGATTTTGAACGTATTTATTCATATATTTTTATCACTCTCATCACCCGTGGTTCTGGTGAAAGCTAACAAATACCTTCCAAGCCATTCAAAAGAGCTGTGGATCAGAAGCAACAGTTGTCTTCCCCGGGAAAACCGTCATTCCCACTGCGGAGCCTCCCTTTACACACCCAGACTTTGTGTCCATCAGTCACATACTCTCTTTAAGAGCGAGCATCATGAATGTATCACAGCTAAGCCCAACAACTCTCACCACGGAACAGTCAATGTTGTTAAGTAAACAAATACAAATACAACCTACTTTCTCCAAGTTTCTAAGTCACTGAAACAAAAGCATAAAATGCTCAAACAGCTCTCTCTCTCTCACATCAAGGCAATATAGTGTGATTTCAACTCTCACTGCAAGCTAGCAAAATACAATCAGGAACATACCAAGTTGGTCACAGCAAAATTAGCGGTTAACACTGCATGATTTCGACTGATTGACTGATCATCTTCAATTAGAATAGCACAGTTTTTCCTTCCAACGATGTACTCAGTGCCAGTCAAAAGTCTGTATGGTTCTAAGAGGAATAAAATCATGAGACACAAACACACATACATAAATGTGTACATTATATAGGATAAAACTCATGATGTGTCAAGAAAACACTTTGCTATTTCAATGTTCATCAGTTTTACATAAATTAAACTCCCATTTTCTATTAAACCCTTATTGAGGAATATCAAAAGATCACCTACATTAATGCAAGGGCATACCATTTCTCTCAAGGAATAACAGTGAAAGGAATTAATACTTTCCCAAAGTATACATTTACTGAAATCCCAAGTAAAGTCCCAATATGAACTTGACTGGAGCTTCCATCCATTAGTTCACTCCCCAAATGGCCACAACAACGGAGCTGTGCCGATCTGAGACCAGGAGACAGGAGCTTCTTCCCGTTCTCTCATATTGAGTGCAGGGTCCCAAGGCTTTGGGTCGTCCTGGACTGCTTTCCCAGGCCACAAGCAGGGAGCTGGATGGGCAGTGGAGCAGCTGGAATAAGGACCAGTGCCCATATGGGATGCCAGTGCTAACAGTAGAGGATTAGCCAGTTGAGCCATCACACCAGCCCCTATTCTTTGTTTGTAAATTTTTACCTTACTTTACTTATTTGGGGGACAGGGATACGCGTTCTGACTCACTGCCCAAACATCCAGGGTATCTGAGCCCTGGACTCAAGCTAGGTCTGCCCACAGGTGGCAGTAACTCAACTCTGAGCTGTGGCCAAGGGTGCACTTTAGCCAACAGCTGGAGACAGGCTGAACAGGACTCCCAGGCTAGCCCTGCTACACAGTGCCAAATGTCTGCCTGGTCTGAGCAGTGCTATCCCTGTAACAGATGGCTAAGTCTCAGCCTGTCACCTACTCATACCAGGTCCTGCAGGGCAAATGCCTTCTCACTGCACACTCAGACCAGGCCAACAGTGAGCTGCAACTAACCAATCCCGCTGTTTCTGGAAGTCACCTCCTACCGTCTGCTGGACTGTTGGGTACTGCTCTCTCAACCTCCACTGGCTCGGGCCACACCTTGATTCATGAAGCCTTTCCTCAGGTATGCTGTGCCAAACTCAATTTGTCTCAGGTCTGTCTTCTTTCCACACATCCACAGGAACTCTGAGAGCCACAAGACAAACTGAAATCTCTACGGTCTGGCCTTGCACTGGTGCAAGTTCATAGGGATGCCTATGTTGGTGTTTACAAAAGTCCTTCAGAGGCCAGATCATATTAATTCTCAGTTTGCATGCTGGCATCGCATGTGGGCACTGGTTCAACCCCAAGCTGCTCCACTTCCCATCCAGCTCCCTGCTTCTGGCTGGGAAAGCAGTGGAGCATGGCCCAAGTTTCCTGCACCCCTATATACACATGGGAGACAAGACGAAGCTTCTGGCTCCCAGCTTTGCACTGGTCCAGCTCTGGCCATGGAGGCCATCCCGAGAATGGAAGACTTCTCTGTCTTTCCTGCTCTCATTCAAGTGAAATAAAGAAATCATCTTCTTTTTTTTCTTTAAACCTCTTTACATAGCCAGTCAACACTGCATCTTGGGAGACCCTTTTTTTCCCAATCACAATGTGAACACCCTGAACACACAGGCAATCATGGCTTTACTGGCTTACCCTTTCTTTTATCAGCCAATAAGGACCACAAACAGCAGGCAGGCAACTAGCAACTTCCACTAGGGAAGTGCAGGCACACAGGAAAGGGGCGGGGTGAAGTGGCCTGGCTTTTGCTGCAGCTCCCCTGGGACACCAGCATCCCAGGTTTGTGCAGGGGGTCCAGCCCAGCACCGCCAAGGCGCACTCTGACAGACAGCAACTGAGGCCCTTGCATCCCGGGGTTCCTGGCTTGGGCCTGACCAGCCCCAGTGTTGGACACATCTAGGGCAGTAAACTCGGAGATGCAAGATTCTGGTCTCTCTTTCAAAAAGAAAAAGTCTGGGCTGTCCCCTCTTGCTGACAGCACGGAAACGCGTCTGAAACAACAGAAAGCATCTCCGTGCACCTGTTTCTCCTCAGCCACCTCAGCCAGGGCTCAGCGAAGGGCCAGCCGCCCCACCGCCCATGCCCACTGCACAGCGCCGGGGTCCCACGGCCACTGCACAGCGCGGGACAGGGCCGGGCGTCCACCCGCCCAACCCCGGGGCCGAGGACAGCCGGCCTTCCCCGCCACGGCGCAGCCGGGACCACCACGCGCGTGCCAGACCCCCGGTTTCCTTCCCGTTCCGCCGTGCCCCGGAAGGTAAGGGGACCCGACCGGAAGCGACCCTCCCCGACTTCCTTCCCCGCGTTGGCGCTCCTCCGAACCCGGGCCCTCTGTCCCTCTCTGTCCTTACCTCGGGCTGAGCCCGCGGCCGGGAGGAGCTTCCACATGGGCCCTGCTGCCGGCCGACGCGACCGGCGCCAGCCCGCCTGCCAGCCGCCCGAGCTGCGGGGCGAGCGCTCCCGGGCCGCGCGAGCCTCTGTGCTGCCGGCGGGATGCAGCGGGCGTGCGGCCAGGGCGCGGGGCCGCCACCTGCTGGGGAGCCAGGAACAGCGCTGTCTACAAGTTCACCAGGTACTTGTTGGCAAGAATTGCAGAGTCCCCTAAGAAAAAGCTCTGAGAAAAACTTTGCAGTGTTATTTGCTATACGTTTAATAAAATTAATGCAAAATCAATCAAGGAGAAAAGATGTGTTTTAGCCAAGTATGTTTGGAGACCATTGGAATGTGATTCCAGTTGACTGCTGTCCAGTTTTGGTTTATGTCAACTCTTAAGAGTTAAGTCCAGCATGAAATTGTCTCCTACTAGACAAAATAATTGTGGTAAATAACTGACAAATTTGAAAAAAGGAAAAGAAACTGGATGCCTATATTGTCGTAGTGCCACTTTGGTAGAGTCTAACTTAGTGGGTTGCCTGGCAGAAGCCTGTTCAGAAGGCATTTTTTGGTATTGCCTTTTGTGCATTTTATTATGAAAATGCTGCAGTCATATTTAGTGAAAAAAGATCTGAATTACTGCTTATAATAGAAATAAAAGCAAGCATTGGTTGCTTAAACTGGTTTCTCATGTCCAACCAGAAAAAGAGAACTTTAGTTAAGGTAAGATAAGTAAATGCACACACATACACCATATATACTTTTTTGAGGGGGAGGGGTAGCTAAAAGGAAATCAATTGTATGTAATACTTTAATAAATTCCTAAATTATTTGACAACTGACATTTTCATTTTGGAAATTCAACTAAATCTAAAAGCATTGTAAAGTTACTATGGTTAAAAACGAATAAGAAATTTAAATGATCTCTGTTTCTCTGGTTTTTTTTATAACATGTAGAGCTGCTATTTTACTACTTGGGGAATGGGAAGTGAAAATTGGACCCTGGAGGGTTTCTACACGCTTTCATCACTTCTCTTTTAGAGAATATTAAAACATCCAGTGTTAACTGGAGTAAAACTATTACTAAGTACCATCAGCAAGGAAAGTCTTGAGTTTGTTAGCATTGTGACCTCCTGGAAGGAGAGATGTTGAGGGTGTTGAGAACAGTGCTTTTCCATGTGTCTGGTCTCTGATCCAAGTTATACGCACAAACAGAAGCTATGAGCTTTCAGGGCACACACTGCTTTAAATGTATAATGCGACTTGCTGCCAGAACCAGATGTGTTGAGGAAAGAAAACAAAACCACCTCGTTTCTATAGCTATTAAAGTCAAGTTTACTGTTCTTTTTTTAACAAGTTTGTATTTTATTTTGCATAGCCGCACATCTGCTTATTTAAAAAAAATACTTACCCTTTGGTAGTAATGGTTCAGTACAAGTGAGTATTACAGCTTAATGTCTCTGTGTTCTAATTCTAAGTGTTCTTTTATTCCAGGTCTTATAGAGCAGATAAGACATCTGTAAGGTCATTTTTTGAAATATATTGTAAAATAATAAAAAAAGGTAACATAATTAAAAAAAAAATTGCAGGAAGAGCAGGAGAGACAGACAAATCTTTCAGCTGCCCTGTGGTTCCCGAATGGCTCAAAGATCAGGGCTGGACCAGGCCCAAGTCAGGAACTTCATCAGGGTCTGCCTTGAGGGTGGTAGGGGCCCAAGCACTGGGGCCATCTTCCAGCTGCTTTGGAAAGATTTTTTTTGTTGTTTAGATTCGTCTCACCTGAGGACGTTTTTCATTGATGCATTGAGATACTCCATGCATTTGGATTTCCTGAGTTGCAATGATTCATTTGTGTGGATCCCTAAGGAGAGTGTTAGCAGTGAGGATGATGGTTTCATCCCAAAGTAACTCCTTGAGATTTTCTTTTTCAAATTCAAGTCAACTTATCCTAACTTCTCTGTTGCATATTATGCTTTTATCTAATCATACATGAAGTATGGGTAGTCTGCCACTATGTCAACTTTTTCCTGTTTCAAGTTGGTTTAAGGTCTCCTAATGTATCGTCATCTAACTGCAAGTCTCATCTTTTCTTCAAGCCAGGACACCTCCGACTACTTGAGAACACACGTGTGATGGTGTAATTTCTGCTTTTCTGAAAGAACTCGGAGGAGACCTGATAGAGGAGCTTGGGGAACACCTCCATCAGGACACAGTCCCTGCAGGTAAGCACAAGAACCAGGGCAGGGAGCAGCCCAGCCCAGGCCCTATTACAGTACCCACCAGCATACCTGTGGCTCAGATATGGAGGCGGGCCAGGCTGGACCCGTTCTTGGCAGCCACTGGCAGAGCTGAGAACCAGGACAGGGTGCAGGACAGGCCTAGTTGGGCTGTAACAGCAGCCAGTTCACATTTAGGATTGTGACTGAGGGCTGGCTAGGCTAGGCTAGGCTGCAGTTCCCACCAGCGTGAGCTGGAATTAGGCACACAACATGCCAGGCCAGGCTGCAGCATCAGCTGACAAATGCCAAGGTGAGGCAGGCCATGCCATATCTGGCTGCAGCACCCGCCAGTACATGTGAGACCAGGGAGAGGTGGGTAAGCATGATAGGGTAGCAGCAGGGGTTTGTACTGGTGGAAGTGAGAACTGGGACTGAGGGCAGACCAGGCCAGACCAATACCCATAGGGCTGCATGTGAGCTGGGAAAGGCAGCAAGGCCGGGTGAGTATAAACACTGTGCATGCATGAGCCAGAAGTAGTGCAGGCTGCCCAGGCTTTGCCACAGCGTCAGGGCTGGCAAATGCTGGGACCAGGGGCAACTCCTGTCAAGCTAGACTGCAGAACCACCAGGAGAGTGCAAGATCTCCCAGTAGGGAAACTGTGGGCTCCTCTCTAATGAGCTGTGACTCCCATGGGTAAGCATGAGAAGCAGGGCTGCAGGTGGGACTGTCTGGCCAAGCAGTGGCATCTACTGGAATGAGTGTGGGCTGATAACAGTGTTCGTTGGGTTGAACTAGGCTAAAAGGCCCATTGATGTATACAAGAGCTGAATGGGATGGTGTCAGACAGGAGCAGTCTGCTGCACATAGTGAGAAGTACATTGATGGTGATTTTGGGGGGTCACTCTGACTAGGCTACAGTTCCTGCTGGTATGTTTGAGGATCAAATGTGTAGTGGGCTGGGTTGGGCTGGACTGAAGCATCCATTCTTTAGTGTAAGAGATGGGCTTGACACAGAACTAACCCAGCACAGGCTGATGTGTTGTCAGACTAAGCCAGACCCTGTACTGGCAAGCACACACAGAGTCAGGCCTGGGTTCAGCAGAGACGAAGTCTCTGTGGGATTCACCCAACTGAACCACTGCACTCCGAATTCCAACCGTGTGTTGAATCCTAGGACCAGTGGACTGACTGTGGAGTGCAAGTATCAGAAGTGGGCCTCCACAATAGCTAAGGCAGAGTAGTGGATGGCATACCCAGATACACATGGAGGATATGCCAGTCCACTGGGAAGTGCAGTGGACATCTGCTACCACAGCAGAGGAAGGAGGGTAAAACAAACTGTACAACTAGCCCAGCCAAGTGTTGACAGCATATATCTGGGCGAATGGAAACTCTCAGGTGGACTGTGTCAGCCAGTGATCCTTGGATGGATTTCCTCATCCTTGAAGCAACAAAACTGACATAATTTCAAAACTATTGAAACCACTTGAGCACAACCTTCAAAGCCTGTTTCATCTTGGGACCCTGGTATGATATTGGGTGGCCATTCCCCACCCCAGGTACTGAGGCAGTTGGAAGGCTGAGTGCAGCTTCTCTTCTCATCTCCTCCCTTGCCCCCAGAGACAGGAGGAAGAAAAGGAAACTTGCAAACAATGATCTCACCCACTTTCCCCTAACCCTCAATCCTTCCCACCCCCAATCAACCCTGTGAACATAATCATTTAAAAAGAAATGTGATTTAGGGAGCTAGCACTTAACATGGTGGCTAACATAGTGACCTCCTTCCAACATCAGAGTGACTGTTTGCTTGCTGGCTTCATCTCTTGAGTCAGACTTGCTGCCAGTGCAGACCCTGGGACAGAGTGATGATACATGCGTATTCTTTCTTTCTTGCTTGCTTTCTTTCTCTCTTTCTCTTTCTCTCTTTCTCTCTTTCTTTCTTTCTGTCTTTCTTTCTTTCTTTGTTTCTTTGGCATTGTTTTCATTTTGTTGTTGGGCATCTTCAGGTTTTTCTTCAGTGTTTTCTTAATTTTCATTGCAAATCTCTTTTCATCCTTAAATTTGTCCCAGGGTGTATATGTATGTATGTATTTTTTGTGTGTATTTTTGAAAGAAATTATTTTACTTGGAAAGGCAGAGTTACATAGAGTTTCCATTCCAAATGGCTGCAGTGGGCAGAGCTGGGCCATTGTGAAGCTGGGAGCTAGGAACTCCTTCCTTGTCTCCCATATGGGTGCAGGTTCCCAAGGACTTGGGCCATTCTGCACTGCTTTCCCAGTCACTGGGTTGGGAAGTGAAGCAACCAGGACATGAGCCAGTGCCCATATGGGATGCCAGTGCTGCAGTAGAGGATCAGCCTGCTTCACTGCTCCCGCCCCTGTGTGTATTTCTGTAGCTACTGTGACTGGGATTGTTCTCATCAAGTTCTTTCTCAGCCAACAGCCTGTTGGCCTATCAAAATACTACTGGAGTAATTCAAACAGTTTGACAAGAACTGGTATTAGCTGTTTCTTGGAGGTTTGGGAGAAGTCATCAGTGAAGGCATTTGGTCCTGAGCTATTGCATTACCAGTTATTTGTTCAAGTGTTCTCTGTCTTTGTGACTCAATTTAGGCAAATTGCGTGTTCTTGTAGATTTCAAAGTTTCTTCCAAATTTCCTGATTTGTGGGTATATGTTCATAATAGTTCTGACTGATTCTATTTCTGTAGCAACCATTGTTTTCTCTTTTGTGTCTCATTCAAGTGATTTTTTAAAAATGATTAATTGTATTTATTTGAAATGAAGAGTGACAGAGTGGCCAAGATGAAGAGATTTTCCATCCCATCTACTTGTTAACTCTCCAAATTGCTGTAAAAGCTGAGCCTGGCCAGACCTAAGACAGGAGCCAGTCTTTTTTAATGTCTTGAGATTTGTTTATTTTTCTACTGTATGATCAGTCCTGTTGTTCTATGTGCTGATGAAAAGGATGTTCATTCTACAAGTGTGAGGTGGGATAGTGTACAAGTGTGTTGGGTCTGTTGTGGGGAAGGAGTTAATTAGCACTGGTTAAGCTGAGCAGTAACAGGAAATGGGGTTGTGGCTAAAAGCACCTGGACTAATGGGACTCATTGGCATGCTGTTGTCTGGCTAAAGGACTTGGGGGAAAGAATATAAAAGGAGGAATAAAGGGAGGCTTTGGAGAGACTTCCACCATGACTGGTCTCTTGGTGCTTCATCCTCAGACCCTCTCCCTGTCCAAATTACTGGCTCTGCTGACAGGAGCAGGCTCCACTTGGTCCTTGTGTGTATTGAGTTTGTTATTTCTTGGTTGACTTTTTTGTCTTGTTGATTTGTTCATAGATGAAAGTGGAGTTTGAATTAATCTGGTATTATTACAACTTAAGTCTCCTTTTAGAGCGACTAAATTTCTGTTTATCAAATGGTGCTCTAGCATTCGGGGTATATGTATTTGCAGTGGTTATATTGTGTGTTAAATTGATTTCATTATCATTGTGTAGGATCATGGTCTCGTTAACCATTTTTGTCTTAAAGTTTACTTTGTTTATGATAAGCATGGTTAATCCCTGCTCATTTTCAATTTTTATTTACCTGGAGTATCTTTTTTGCTTTTTTTTTTTTTTTTAAGATTTATTTACTTTTGGGCCAGGGGAAGTGTTAAGGCAATTAAGTCCTTACCTTGGACATGCCGGGATCCCATATTGGCACTGGTTCTGATCCCAGCAGCCCCACTTCTCATCCAGCTTCCTGCTGGTGGCCTGGGAAAACAGTTGAGTACAGCACAGAGCATTGGGACCCTGCACCCTCATAAGAGACCTGGAGAAAGTCCTTGGTTCCTGGCTTTGGATTTGCACAGCACTGGTGGTTGTGGTCACCTGGGGAGTGAATCATTGGATGGAAAATCTTCTTCTCTTTCTCATCTCTTCTGTGTATATCTGACTTTACAATAAAAAGAGCAAATTTAAAAAGAAATTTTCTGTTTGCTTTTTATTGGAAAGTCAGGTTTACAAAGAGAA